GGTTACAGATTTTTTTGGAGGTGTGGTCCTAAACCTTTGATAAACTGTAAAACAGCCTGGTTCAGTTTAAATGTGGTTTTCAATAAATTGCATGCTCAAAATGTTTTGTCTCACTCCCATTTCTTCTTGTTGCAAGTTGAAGCTCTATTTGGAACCTTGTTAAGATCCAACCATGCAAAATATAATTTTTTTTGCCATTTTTCAAGTGGTCTTAAACTTTTGATCAGGACTGTATGAGGAGATTCAAGTGGGGAATAGACCACAGCTAGCTTTGCACACACTCACATAAATGGGGATACATCATATGACTCTTTTTCCATACAAAGTGATTCCTATATGAGTGCAGCCTTCTCCAATCAGATAATAATGATAAAAGGCCGTAAAAATCTATAAAGTACAAATCAGTTTGTCAGTAAAATGCAACAGTGTTGCAAAAAAGATAAGACTTTTGGTAAATCTGATGATGTAGCCCACAGATAATACATTTCAATATACATTGTACTAAAAACATACTCTACGTAAAAAGTCAGTGAAAGTGTGGCACTTCCAGCTGATTTTTAAATCAAACCTCAGAACATAACCTGCTACTGAGCAGGGTTTGTGTTCAGAATCAGTTACCTTGGTGATTTAGCAAGGGAAAAAAGAGAGCCACTGACACAATCTAACCTTTTAATCTCCATCCATGGTACATCCCTTTGTACTACAAAGCAGGGTTATCATATTCATGTTAGGTTAACCTAGTCTCAGTATGGGTTTTTTGTACTAGAAAGGCAGTTTACATCTTATTGAGGTATATCACCATGGTAACACATGCTGTAAAAGTAACCTGAAATCACTGCCCACTGACCAGTCTGATGGAAAATCAGACTGGTCAGTGGTGAAAATCAACAATGCTGTAAAATAAAATAATTGTCCCCTCACTGATCTATTTTGTACGTATTTGTTAGACTTCCATTTTAAAATGTCTGATTTAGGGTCAAAAGCATTGATGAGACTAATGTATTAAAAGTTATTTACTGTCACATTTACATGCAATTTCCACTGTAAACCAGCAGTTATAGCACATAAATATCATATGTGTGCATCATTGATTAAAGTAGGCTTATAAAACAGAGTGAGGCAAGTTCAAGTAGTGAAAAAAACATTTTCTGAATTTATGTAAAACAATATGAGAAAAAAAAGTGTGAAACAAGACAGAGCGCTCTGATATTTCAGAGATTACACCTTAAAATTTTCAATGAATTAATTAATTGAAATACTTAAGTAAAAAAAAACAAAAACAACAACAGTTGTAAATACAGTTCAAGAGGACAGGCACATGCTGAAGTTTGCGCCTCAAGAAAGTCAACACCACAACACATGAAGTGACCTTGAATCCATAATGATATAATATTTTTGGTCTTGTCTTACTTTCTAGCAGCTTTTAAACCTGTTCAGAAAATGACTAAGGAATAAATATAATTAACAATTATTAGATTATTACTGTGGAGATAATAATAATAATAATAATAATCATTATTACTACAACTAAAGCTCTCCCAAATTTTCTAAGTAAGTAAAAACCTTTAAACTGTATGAATTTTCATATGTCTTTTCAAATGGATAATCTGAATGAATCTTTTCCCACATATGCTACAAAAGTGTATCTTTTCCCCTGTGTGAATTCTTATATGAGTTTTCAATGTTGATGAAACCGTAAATTCTTTCCCACAGGTGTTACAAGAATAGGGCCTCTCACCTGTGTGAACTCTCACGTGGGTTTTTAATGTTGATTTTCGACTGAATGTTTTCCCACAGGTGCTACAAGAATACGGCTTCTCACCTGTGTGAATTCTCATATGACGTTTCAGTTCTGATTTCCAGGTAAATGTTTTCTCACACGTGCTACAAGAATGTGGCTTCTCACCTGTGTGGATTCTGATGTGATGTGCCAAAGTGGATTTCTGACTGAATGAGTTACCACAGGTGTTACAAGAATATGGCTTCTCGCCTGTGTGAATTCTCATGTGAGTTTTCAAGTTTATGATTTGACTGAATCTTTTTCCACAGGTGCTACAAGAATGTGGCTTCTCACCTGTATGAATTTTCAAATGTTTAGTTAGTCTGGATTTATCGTGAAAAGCTTTTCCACAAGTGTCACATTTTACGGACGTTTTTCCACAAGTGTCACACTTTACAGACTTTTTACTTGTGTTAGTGTTACACTGACTCTCTGGTCCAGGAGAGTTGCAAGACAGTTTCCGGTCACTGTGTGCTTCTGGTTCACTGTGATCACTTTCCTCGTGGGTCACCACAAAATTATCAGACTCCTGCTTCAGTCCAAGCTGCTCCCTTTCCTGACTGGTACAAGGTTCCTCCTTTTCCTCTTTAATCTGTGGAGGCTCTGAGTCATCCAGGTCCAGACTGGAGTTCTTATCCTGCTTACAGACCTGCTGGTCTGTGAGATCCACCTCCTCCTCCTTAGAGACATGCTGATGTTGGAGGTCTGAAGGGACAAATTGAAAAAGAAAAAACTGAAACATCTGAAAAAACAACATTTTAATCTTCATCCGTAGGAGTCTCGATAAAGCATTGCTTGACTCTAAAATAATGCCACTGTCTACATTCAGGAAGGAAGGATTGTTCATGATGGTAGGATGAAGAAGCATCATTAATGCAGCTGTACAGAAAGCACTGAGCATAAACGCCAAAGAAAAACTCCCTTTTAACAGGAAGAAACCTCCACTTTTACCATGAAGACAAGTGGACTGGAAAATGGTTTATAAATAAAGGCTGCTTTCGATTTTTCCAAATGTGCGACTTTTGTGTCACTATTTTATGCCTGCATAGTCATGTGACAGCAAAAACAGGTAAGTATGTAAAATAGAAAAATTTTATCGTGAAATTGGCTCCTCAAAATATCAAAATATTGATAATGTTCCCAGAGGAAGTGTAAGATTAAGCGTTAGCTGCAGATGATTCTAACAGCAATAAACATGTTGGATTTCCTGCTATAATTACATTCTTATTAGAAATGAAAGTTAATCTGTTGGGTCTTTATTTTCTCTGATACTGAGAGGGCACAGTAAGGACTTGGACACAGATGCTGAAACATTAACCTTGTCATAACGAAGGCTTGTGAGCTTACTGTTCGAAATCGGGCATATTCAAGTTCATGTTCTGCATCTTTAACCGCTGGGTGTTTGAGTAACACGTTTGCAGAATGCTTGGATTTTTTACACTCAGGTATAATTTTGTTTCTTGTGGTTTTATTTTGGCGGGTGTCAAAAATTCTTCTACGTAGGAAAAACCTTCACCTTGTTACACTGTAGCTTCTGCTGCCATTAACTTGTGTTCATGTTTTGCTATATTTATTGAGCACTTTGCCACAAAGGGGATGAATTAAAATCCACCGTATCTCATTTTCAGCTTATAATAGTATAGTAATCTCAAAACTATTTCTTCTCAACCAACAGATTTCAGCTGGACTTCAACTTGTTTTAGTAACCTTCAACAGCAAACATAAACACATTTAAAATAATTTTAGTGAAATAAACAAATCCCTATATTCAGATTGGATAAAGTGCTTTTACCTTCAACTGACACAAACTGTAGGTTTAATGTTAAATGTTCAGAGTTTAGGAAAAAAAATGCATTGAAGTTACTTATTGCAGTTAGTCCTTAAATTCTTCCTAAAAGTAACTCTGAGCTCTGATTAGCATCCAAATTGAGTCATATTTATTTTTCTAAGACCTTTACAGTTTTACATACCTATTCTGTGTGAGTTTATTTCAGGTTTCCAGTTGGTGTCACTTAGTCTGTCCTGGTCTTCCCTGGCCCAGACGAGGATACCTTTGCCTTCGTGCTTCAGTACAAGCTGTTCTCCCTCCAGACTGGTGCAAATTTCTTCCTCTTCCTCTTTAGTCTGCTGAGAATCTGAATCCTGCTGGTCCAGATTGGAGTGACTCTCCTGGTTACAGACCTGCTGGTTATCCATATCCTCTTCTTCCTTACATTCATCTTCGTCTGGGAGGTCTTGAGGAACAAAAACACACAAGAAAACATTTACTAATGTGATGATGGCAAAACACCCACCTGAGCAAATATATCCCAGCATATGTAACCATGTCCCTCACATATGAGTGAAATGAGTTCCGACAGTCTTATTAGCAAAGTTGTCACACTTTCAGTCCCCACTTATGTTGGGCACTGGTGCCTTCACAAACAGAGGCCCACACCACAGTTATGTCAGAACTGCTTTTGTGTTGTTGGAGGGGAAGACACTCAGAGTAGGTAAGTGGCACATTAAGGAAGTCACATACCTGTATTACTGAGGTCCACAGGCATGAGTCTGATCAGTAGGGTTCATTAAATCTATTTATTTTTAATCAAAACATTGTTTTGTAATGCTGTCTATACATTATAATAACATGAACATGCATTTAGTATCAACAGGTGATTGCAATTGTAATGCAAACAGTGCAGCTCCATGCTAAACTTTTGCACGATCGCATGTGTTTCATGAGACAGATCATACACATTTATTTCCTGAATTAAACAGCCTACTGGAAGCAAAATATACCAACCTAAAGAAGTAGAAATGAAAAAATTCTATGTAAATGTATATTATTATTAGATATTAAAGGAAAGAAAACCACAACACATCAACACTCGGTTGATGTCGGCCCTTGCTGTCTATCTTCAATCTTCTCCTGGCAGATAGACTAATAACAGCACAAATATGAGTAGACCAAAGACTGGTTGTACACACAGATGATCTCTGCAGACAGATGGGCTATGAGTAGTTGCCCACAGTCTGCCAACGGACTGCTAAGGCACTGCCATTGCCGAACCATAATTTTGCCCCAAGGGCTTCTCGAGGACAAATGTGTTGGTCGCAACTACAATATAGAAAGCAGCTAAATTAAAAGAAATTAAATTAAATTATAAAGTTTGATTAGCTGTTGAAACAAATATGTGATCTTGTTAAGTGTGTAATAACGTAGTGTAAAAGTGTAATAAACAGCTAAACCTACTTGGAGCAGAGACTGCTGAGCCACTGCTGAGGGCGATGTAAAATGACCCTGGAAAAAGTTTGTGGAACATCTGAAAAACTGTCATTTTTGCCTCAAACCAACCAACCAACCAACTTTCCTAGACAACGGTCGAGGAATGTAGCCAGAGAGATGCTGTGAACTTTCCCCGATCCCTCACTTGCTTTTTTTTTACACTGTATTCTGCTGTGGATTCCATATCTTGTGACACAGGCATGATATTTTACTCAGTTTCTGTTATACTGGACCTGCAACCATTTATTGTGTTGTTTATGAGATTTTTTACACCAGAAGTCTCAGTGGAGAAGCACATTTTGTCATGAGAATTGTTTTAGTTCACCTGGAAATAAGTGCATTCATTTTAATTAGGCATTCACGCATTTGTTTGTTTGTTTTACAGCAGGAATACTCTGTCAGTTTCTTGGTCAAATTAAAGTGCGGATGCAGCAAATATGATCTCAATTTCATAGTAAATACTGCCTATTATTGTTTCTTTGAAAGCGATTGTATTTAATGAACTTACAGCACAGTTTGCTCTCTTTATGTTGCTGCAGCTCAACTAACAGCCTCAGTCTCCATCTCTCACTTACACGAAAGTTATCAATGAAATGAGAAGAGTAATTATTATACTTGGTTGTTAAAGTAAATGGATGGTTGAAATATTAATAACAGATCGGGTATTGTTTCCATAATCTCCACACTCACGTGTATCCGCTGGGAATAAACAGAAGCGGTGGTATTAAAAACATTAACTTTAAATTACAAGGCCCAGCCTAAATACTGCCGCTAGCCGCTTATCGTTTAAGACAAAGAGAAGCACTTCTATTATTTATGTAAAAAATAAAAAACCTCAGAGCTGCGCCTTCATTTTATTCTACAAACTGGGCTGTGATTTAGGTGCTGCGTGAGTCACCTCAGTTTTACATACCGATTATGTGTAACTTTATCTCAGGTTTCCGGCTGATATCCAGCAGCCTGAGCTGATGGTTGATTTCCTCCTCGTACCGGACGATCGTTTTTTTAACCTCTGAGAAGATTTCTTCAGCAACGCCAGTCAATCTATCCCTGATGAAGTCTCTCATATACTGAACTGAAGACATTGCTGAGCCGTAACACAGACGCATCGTTTCCGTTCGTCCTCGTCTTGTGTTAGATCTGCGGAAAGCTTAAGGAGCGCCCCCTTCAGCTCAGGCTGAGAATTCCAATCAGAAACAAATCCTTACAGAGCAGCTAGTAACGTGGACACAGGCACCAAAACTTCATGCTTGGAGCAATGACTGTAGTCATTGGTTTGGAGCCATTATCTTGAAAATGTATTTATTTATTTTTGCTTTCAATCTTAGGAAACAGCTGTTTTCTAAGCCTCAGATTTAAACTAACTACAACATGAAAGACTGAAGTTTAATTAACTCAGCAATGTCTCTAAGCTAAAGTCAGGCATAGAGCGGCTGAGTGAATGTGGTCCGGATTCTGTGGAGGAAGTCATGGTTTCAGGGAAGAAGGACACAATACCTGCTCATCTGGAGGACTGAGGACCTGAGAGTCTCAGAGCTCTGACACAAAACCTCAGAGGACGGATATTGTTGCTGGACGAGTTTGTAGACTCACATCTTCTACAACTGAAATAGTTCTCCATCACACCACCAGCCCACAGACTTCCAAATAACATAAAAATCATACATGAAACTGGTTCCCTCATTTTACAGTAAAGGGTGTTTCCTTGATAACATGTGGATGCTTTGCTTTGCTCCATAGACTGCTATTGTTCCTTCAGCACTGGTGTAATCACATTATAGAGAGAGATTACAGTAAATGATATAGTTTCAAAAATAAGGCAAATATTGGGCTGGCGGTAGAGGTGCTTCCATATTTTTATCCTTTAAGTAAATTGGGGATTGAAATGAGCCTCTTTCATCAAAGTATCACTGAGAAATTACAAAGCCCCCCCACAAAATATGAGTTAAAACAAAACATACTGGAAATCTCTGACAGAAAGTCCACGTTAGCACAAAAAGTTTTCCATCACATGTTGTTCAGTGCATTCATCTCATTAGAGTTTTCATAATTACTAAAAAAATGGTAAATGGCCTGTATTTGTACAGCGCTTTACTTAGTCCCTAAGGACCCCAAAGTGCTTTACACTACATTCAGTCATCCACCCATTCACACACACATTCACACACTGGTGATGGCAAGCTACATTGTAGCCACAGCTGCCCTGGGGAGCCCTGAGACTTACTATGACATTTTTATGCAGTTTCTACTGCTGCACTAAATAAACATCATATGTGAGTCTCATTGCATAAAATGCTGGAGCTAGGACATTTAAACAGGAACTGTAACACAGACTGAGGCACAATTAACCAAAAAACAAACATCAGTAT